AAAAAAAAAAAGCAAGAAACAAATCGCGTAGGGATAAAACACAAAAAAGCTTCAGAACGTCTCGTTTGAAAAAGGAGACTCTCGATGCATGACGATCGATAGGATCCATGATTATGCGGCGCGACTGAAACCGGGGGTGCTATTTTAATTGTGCATCATCTTAACAGGTTTATATGACTAGCATCTATGTATTGTAAATTATAATCTTTACAATGATATCGATATTAATGTGTACGAGACATTATGACCAGTACTCATTTTCTTATGGCACGTTTATAATTAATATCGCCCGAGCTAATATACCCAGATAAAAGGTATTCTGGATACACGGGCGCACGTCTGATTCAATTTCGAACTAAAAATAATAAATTGTAATAATGTTATTGCACTGTGTATATCAATTTTCTTTACCTTTATGTATTTAATTGCTTTCTCACACTTAATGGACAAACTTTTGTTGCTTGAATCTTGACTATAAATTGATATAGCAGAACACAATTTACAAATATACAATATTATAAGGGAAATTATTTTAATTCTAGTTTTTATAATTGTTTATAACGATTACGTATATGTATTATGTAAATCTGTTATTGTTATCTGGTCAGTTCAAATAAAAGATGAAGATAGATTTATCATAAGCAATTATAAAAACAAATGTCTCGTGTTTTTTACTTCAATTTCTATCACAAAATATTTTGAATTGAATGTTTTATAAGTCGTTTCTTCTTCCTTTTATTATAACTAATGCAATTATTGCCATTACTAAAATTATGAAATTTTATTCAAGATCATCGTCGTCGTATAGATCATCAAAATCTGAAAGAAAAGACAATTATTCATAAAGATTATATGTAAAGATCATAACAGCACGTTAACAGCATTAATTAATTTTGAATGAAAATATTTACAATTATTTACCATTGAAAAACTCCGCGTGCACTGCTTTTTCACTTGCAGTTAAATCAACCAATAAACGACTGCCTCCGACCTAGAATAATTTTGATAAATTCATAACTATCAATAGAAAAATTAGAAAAAAAAGAAAAACAATATATACCAATTATCAACAGAAACTTAACGTTCCGAAACATAACCTTATTCATCTGTGATATACCTCTTCTAATTCGATGTAAGATCCAGCACCTTCTGGGAACATCTCATCTGCTACGAGAGTAGGTTTCATTTTTCTACAGATTTGAATTGAACAGAAATTGTACAAAAGTTTTTCGTAAAAACGATTATCGTCCAACGCATCGACAAGCTATGACGGAACAACGATCCAGCGATCTGTCATCCAAAGATTTTGAAATGATTGATCAGCGCTCTCTGGTGGAAATGGACAAAGTAACATAACCGGATACTTTAAACTTGATACGTAAAAATTGATACTCAAAAAATTTCAAACGGGACACTTTCCCAAAGAAGGTTAAAGATTAAACAAATGGGATTCAACAACATTTGTCTTTTTTTTTTTTAAAAAACTGTAATTATTATTAATCGTAATAATATGATTATTGACAATGACGCGGCTATGTGCACATTAAAACACCTTAATCCGTATCTTACAAGACCAGCTTTTCTTTTACATTATATACAGTAGCTAAATATTGTATTATTTCACTTTGCAATATAATAAAACTATTTATATATTTATATATTTATATATGTACGTATGTGTTCTGAATCGTTGTATGTATCCACACTTTCTTATTTTTTCACGGTGCGGACACGTGCAACGAATTATGACAAAAAATTCATCATCGTTATCGGTTTTTTTTTTTTTCCCTTCCTATGTTTAGCGTAAGTAAGAAACGATTCGAAAGTAAACGATTCTGCTTGGCTTTCCTCTTCTCTGTACAACGTTAATAGGCTCCGCTAAGGCTCCGTTTATCGCCGGCGAGTTATTTTTCTTCGGCTTCCAGGGCGTATAACGTTATTCCTCCTCTCAGAATTCAGGATTCTAACTAATTTAATATTAACACCTTTGTCGTTCGACCCTAGAACCAGTCGATTCGATTACTATTTGATACAATTAGAATCACGATCGGTATTGTTTTGATCTTAGCTGGGATTATATAATATTATGTACAATTCTCTCTCTCTCTCTCTCTCTCTCTCTCTCTCTCTCTCTCTCTCGATTAAAATTAAACCCTTTCGTTGCAATCCGCATATATTCATAATTGCATAATTTAACTGCTGTAACTCGCTATATT